TTTTCTTTCTTTTCTTTTCTTTCTAGAGATGGCGTCTTGCTATGTTGCCTAGCAATGGTCTTGAATTTCTGGTCTAAAGCGATCCTCTCCTGTCAGCCTCCCAAAATGTTGTGATTACAGATGTAAGCCACTGCACCTACCATGGTATCCTGATTTACAGTTCTGTACATTTTGGCTTATAATATGCATTGTATTTAGAAAATAATGAATTTTCATTTCTTCAAAAATTTGTGTGCCTCTTTAGAACAAAGGGGACACGTGTTCCTCCTCAGGGACAAGTAAGATTCTGGTATATTGGTCTTTATATGGACGTCTTTGAACCATAGTCATTAGTAGTCATGTGACATTGAAAGAGAATGTTAGCCAACAAAAACTCTAGATCCAATGCTTGTGAATTGCTTCTTTAATTTTGATAGGTGATGGCAGCTTTTATTTAAACTACTTCTGTTTGTCCCTTCAGCAGAGAGGGAGAAGGCCTCAAGTCAGGAGTATGATTTGATGTCTTATGCTTTTTAAATCTTTTCCAGCTATGCTAAGAAAGAATCTGATCTTAATGGAGCCCAGATTAAGCTTCGAGAATATGAAGCAGCACTGAATTCTAAAGATGCAGCTCTTGCTACTGCACTTGGTGACAAAAAGAGTTTAGAGGGAGATTTGGAGGATCTGAAGGATCAGATTGCCCAGGTAAGGTCAATCCTACTCTTGAGCCATATGTGGTAGATTAATTGCGTCATCTGCCTTAAGCCATAGTTTGATTGATTGATTTATTTTTAAATTTATTTTATTTTTGAAATTTTAAAAATTTCTTTTTTGGTGACTCACTTGAAGAAAAGTGTTGAGGTAGCTAACATGCAAAACATCATCACCTCCCAGGTATTATATCTGGATCGTACAGATCTTGTGGCTCCCCTTCTTCCCTGTTGTACGCACACTCATTCTGTCTCTGCTCTCAAAGCCTATTTCGTTAGGAAATAAGTAAGAAAAGCGACATCATAATGCTGCTCTACACACAGGAAAAAATGAAAGCGGTTAGCTAAAATAACTAGTTTGATTTTTGAAACATGAGTGAGTCATAACATCTCTGTTCTGTTCCCTGTTGCCAGTTACCAGTTTGATGGCTGGTTTGGTATGATACTCTGTGGGCGAGACAAGCGAATGAACACCCAGTTCTGTGATAAATGTTAAAATGAAGTAATTATATATTGATAAATGTATAGGAATTGTAACAGTTGATTTCATTCATAGGTATCTTAAATTCATTATTAAATGATTGGTGTGTAATTTTCTATCACAATTCTTTTTTCTTGTAATAGTTGGAAGCCTCCTTAGCTGCTGCCAAAAAACAGTTAGCAGATGAAACTTTACTTAAAGTGGATTTGGAGAATCGTTGTCAGAGCCTTACTGAGGACTTGGAGTTTCGCAAAAACATGTATGAAGAGGTAACTATATATAGTTTTACTTTGTAAAGGAATGGAGGGGTTCTAGAATGACTTTGTCATAGCTATACATGTAATTATATTTATGATTTCTTTACCACAAAATTATATTAAATAAATAATAAGGTTTAGGGATGGGGAGAAATTTTGCAGGTAGATTATTCAAGCAACTGCTGCTAAGGGACTGCATTTGAGAACTCAAGCTGTTACTGTAAACAGATATGCTTTCACTTCATCTTACTTATAAAGGCTTGGTCACAGCAGCTAATTACTGTCAATATGTTTAGGCAATTGTTATTTATTCCTGCCTAACAAATTACTTCCAAAGTTCATCAACCTGAAACCACAGACTTGTATTAATTTCTCAGTTCCTGAAGGTCAGGAATCAGAGCTGCTAAACTGGGTGGTTCTGTTTTTGGTCCCATGAGGTTGCAGTATAGCCTTCAACCTGGGCTGGAGAAATGGCATCTGAGCTCATTCGTAGGGCTGGAGGTGTCAGTTCCTCACCTCATGGTCTTCTCCATAGGGCTGCTCATGATGTGGCCCCCCTAAGAGAGAGAGAGAAAGAGAACATATGGTACCAGCTACCAAGGCAGAAGCCACATTGTCTTCTATAACCTAATCACAGAAGTTATATACCATCACTTTTGCCTTCTCCTATGGCTCACATCTGGAAATCTGGCTACTTACAGCATTTATAGGTATATGTGTAAGTCTTTTTTTTTTTCCCTTGAGACGGAGTCTCGCTCTTGTCGCCCAGGCTGGAGTACAGTGGCACAATCTCAGTTCACCTCAACCTCCCCCTCCTGGGTTCAAGTGATTCTCTTGCCTCAGCCTCCCGAGTAGCTGGGACTACAGGTGCATGCCACCATGTCTGGCTAATTTTTTGTAGTTTTAGCAGAGACGGGGTTTCACCATGTTAGCCAGGATGATCTCGATCTCCTGACCTTGTGATCCGCCCACCTTTGCCTCCCAAAGTGCTGGGATTATAGGTGTGAGCCACTGTGCCCAGCCCACTCTTGTAAATCTTAAAATATCACTTACAGGCCCTAACTGCTATGGTCAAGGGGTAGGGGCAAAACTGTTGTCGAACAAAGGAAGTAATAAAATTGAAGAAAAGGGAATGTATATCTCATGAAAATTGGAGAGGGTTGGAATCTACCCATGGGAGAGAACATGCTGTTAATGTGCTAGGCTTAATGTTTTTAGAGGTAGTGTAATTTTGAAAACAGTGACTAACAATAATTTAAAAATTGGAATTCATTGTAGCAGTAAGAAAATTATTTTTTTAGTTGGAGGAAAAACATCAGAAATCTGATATTTTTTATGACGGTCTAAACAAAATAGTTATTAGTGCAAGGTGCACCAGACAAGCAGTCAGAGCTTGGACAACTCTTAGTGTCAGTTTCTTCTTCAAAATGAGATACTGATACTGCTGTTTTTTTCTTCAAGGAGTGGTAAGTATCAAAGTGAAATACTGTGTATGAAAGCTCTTTGCAAACTGTATATAATTGTTACTAAGTGTTGCTTTGTTAAAACAGTTTTTTTTTTTTTT